CGGCATACAAACTTAATAAAATGAAATGAAATGAAATGAAATGTAGAATCGACTGGCTTGGGCATTTTAATGGGCCATTAAGAAAGTGGGGGCTATTAAGAGTGAGTCTGTTTCCTGCCTAAAAACTTGTTTCTCCATTTCTGATCCAGGGAAATGTAATATTCTGCCTTTTCAATATTTCCTAGGATATTTCATTTTTCTAGGAGAGGGCTGAGTTTTAATTTTCTACAACTGTGAACCCTCATATAGTACAACTGAAGTTGTGTTTGCACGATTTCAAGAGTGGATTAATTTTATGCTAATAAGACTATAGCCTTAGGCTTTACAACTTTCAGCTCACTTGTTTTGGGTCAAGAGCTGCACGTGGACTGATGTGTATCAGGTCATACTCCAAAAATTATTGGGTGGATTAATTTGCTTTGAGTTCATGTTCTTTAATTAAAATTGTTATAATGAATATAATCATTTCCTAGATACAAATTTAATAGGACTGTGCAATGCTTTAAAGTCTGCATCAAAAGGATGCATCTGCCTATAACTACATACCTTAAAGTTGCCAAGATTGAGAAACACTGATCTAGAGTTGCACAGTCCAGCTGTAACATCCATACTTATGGCAGGCTTATCACAATGTGAACTCTACTTGTGAATTTATGATTCGGGAGGCAGGTTTGGTTTTACAAATGAATCTGGAGAAATATAGCAAAGTTGAAAGTTGCCACAGAGTTGAAATATTTCTCAACTTACAACCATTAATTTATTGATTATTCGAAGTTACAATGGCACTGAAAAAAGTAATTTATGATTGTTTTTCACATGATAAAAATTCAGACAATTGGCAACTGGCTCACATTTTTGATGGTTGCAGTTTCCCAGGATCATGTGATCACCTTTTGTGACCTTCTGACAAGCAAAGTCAGTGGGGAGCCATGTTACTAACTTAACTGCATTGATTCTTTTAACAGCTGTGGCAAGAAATCTTCCCATCTCTGGTAAGTCTACCACTCCTAGTCCTCCTGGTATTGCTAATGCCCCAAATATGTAGATCATAGTTGTCAAATTTACATAGCACTTGTGAGAGTTTCCTACATTGATATAAAGATTGAACTTTCCATGTTGCAATTTGTGTTGTCAATTTTCCACTGTATCTATCTACAATCAACCATTGGATGTCCTTTACCCCAATGCCATCATGCCATGGTTTAACCTTTCATGCTGTTGTTGATGATTATGATCATCATGGTCATTACAGTTGCTATGATCACTAGAGACTTTAAGTTTGCTTGCAGTTTCTTTAGCTCTTTTTAGTTTTATGGGGTACAAGTGCTAACCCTACGACCAACTCTCCTCACTTTATCCGGACTTGGGACTGCTTTGGTTACGTCAAACAGATTTGTCTCAGGTGGAGTTATTTTTTATAGCCTATATTATTTGTATATAACTACTGTACTTTATTTAGTAGATGATAGTTAAACAAATAACATAGACTACTGTTTATTTCAAAAGCACCATCAGATTATACATTGTCAAGGTTATGATTAACCAGAGAGAAAGAGACAACGAGCAAGAGAGAAGAAAAAAGAAAGAGGAGTCCTTAAGACATTTATACATTAAACTGCTATTGACAGAACTACCAGTTTTTGAAATTAAAACAATGTTTCATTTATTATTAAAACAATCATAGCTTTCCTTGTGATTCCTTCATGAAATCTCAAAAATCTAGGTTAAACTAAACTCCCTCAGGAAGCATATCAAATATTGATTTTCAGAAATAACAAATGTCAGTAGTGACAATTTGTTCTTCCATACAAAGTAAGTCCAATTGATTAAAATGGTTAACTGCTGACATATACTTGAGCAATCAAAGAACACTGTCTTTGAGTTCAGAGGACTTACAAGAACATCACTTTGATTGGACAGAAAATGGCTTCTTCTGAAGTTACTTATTATAGTAGAAATAAATTGAGCTCAGCTTTGATTGTATATGCTCATTATTAAAATCTGATTGACCACTTTGAATTACAATGTTATATATTAATGTATTTAAAAGATACAGCATATGAACAGAACTAATGCAATGCATCTTGTTTTTCCAGTTTGTAAACAAAATTTTAAGACAAAAGTCGATTAATCATTGCAATATTATTGACATTTCTTTTCTTTTGTACCTGCCAAAACATTTTTGCAGGCTTTTTGCTGAGTCAAGGAGATTAGATTTATTAATTTTATAGTGTTAATATTCTGATATTTAAACTAAAAGTTGTCTTTTCCTATTTCTGTCATGTTTGCAACAGAAGGAAACAACTGAGAGTTCTTTATTTTTTGCTACTTTGGTAAATGTGGATTTCTGTAGTTCTGTCTTAAACAGAATTGCAGAATAATCCACATTGGGCAATTGAGACGTGTGCTTTTATCAAAGAAATGCATTATAATCTCTTTACCAGCCCTTTAAACCAAATTGTTTGTACTATACATTTTATACATATACGATTTTATTTACATACTGATATTTGTCTAATTGTATATAACCTATTTTATTTACAAATTGATATTCATCAAATTGTTTAAATTGGTATGTAGTTCCTCTCTCCCCTATTAAACTCAGAAATAACCTTGTTCTCAACATGCCTTTCCAGTATTTTAGAAATTCTGAATAATGAAAGATTCTCATTATTTCCGTGAGGCAAAAGTACCGGACATTGTTTTCAATGTTCAAAATGCATATCCTTTCAAATTAACTCTAGAGGTAAGTAGTAAAAATTTTAAATCTCTTTCACAGTTATGTGATTGTTTTTCTGGCTTTATTAAGCTTCTTTAAACTTTCCCAATATTTATCAGCTAAATCTGATGTATTATCATAGTTTCATTCCATATTTGAAATATTTTTGTTAGATTACATTTCAAATCGACTGTGAACTATTTTTGGTTTTGCTTTGTTATAGTTGGTAATCATATCCAATTTGCTGTGACCAAGAGTTCTCCTTTTATCAACTCTATTTATGTTGCTATTGTTCTCCGTTGGCATATCCTCAGAGGCATCAAGGAATCTAGGAACTGCGCCCTTCATCTCATAATGTACAGATTTAGTAGGATTGTTAATGAATTCTAATTGATTGTATCCATGATTTAGTGGTTTGTCATCCTTATGTAGTTTGCTTGCATTTTCAACTGGTTGAGTATAAAGGAACTTCTTGTTATCTTTTGTTCCCATATTCTCAGAAACATGTCCATTTCCTGTATTGTCAGCTAATATCGGTGAAGATGCTGATAGCAAAGATGTTTTAAACTTCAATAAATTAGAAGCATCATTGAGTGGAGGCTTTAATTTATCTAATATGTTGCAGTTAGAGTCTGGCAACTCCCTGGGATGGTATCTCAAGTCATTATGTCCTATTAAGCCTGAAATGGTCTTTTTTGTTTCACATGGAGTTAATTCTTTCTTTTCACAGAATACATTGGAAATTGATTGGTTATGATATGGTGATTTTTTGATAGTCACAACACTGGAATTTGAAAGGGTACTTGACGGACTGACACCTTCATACTCATTCCGTTGAATATGTTTTAAAATGGGCTCAAATTTCTGCATGGTCTTGTAAGGAGCAGATGTGGAATTTTCAGCATTGGGCATTCCAAGATGATTCACCGAACAAGATTCAGCATATATGCATCGGAACTCTCTGTCAAAATCATCAACAATTTTTCCTTTGAAGTGCATCACTAAACAGGTATGTACCTGGCTGCACAGCCATGTGAAACTGAAATGGAAATAATTCAGGGACAACATGAAACATCAACATATAATTAAATTGTACATATTTAAAAGATTGAAAATCCATTAGGCAGCAATATTTATTTACAATATTAGTACTATTTTAAGTATGTTTATCAGCATATCTTTAGCACTATTGCTGCAATACAACAGTGTACCATCATTACTATTTTAAAGCATTGAGAAAATAATAAGTGGAACAGTTTGATGGTCAAAATCTTAGATTAGTTTAGTGCATATGTGTGTTTTTACTGTGTTAGGCAATAAAGGAAGGTAGTAGCTGAGCATGCAAACTAGTTATTATGGTTAAATTGTTATAGATAAACAGTTAAATGACAGACATAAGAATTATAAGGAATTGGTTGCAAGTTAATTATAGATTTCAAAAGTCATACTTATGGTTTAAGAGGAAGAAATCTGTAGCCACCCAGTGTGACTGGAGCTCATTTAGAGAAGAGTTACAAAATGACACTGTTGAGAAGAATTCTTGAGCATTTAAAAATGATACAGAAAAATAATTCTATTAATCTTAGATTAATTGGTGGGAGATTTTTAATCAAATAATCAGTGATATCTAATCCCTAAATCTTTTAAAAGCAGCAGATCAGACTGCCAAATTATATAACCATGGCCAACTTCCTACTGGAATCTTTTTAAGCTTACATTTTGGGATGATATATTGCATACACTAGGATACTTTGAGATGGTTTAATATGGTAGCATGGCATGGAGTTGGCAGGCTTCCTGTAAGTAAAAAGGGAGGACAAAGGTAAAGCTGCTATTAAATATTTGTGTTGGTGAGTCAAGTGTAGATTGTTCAGGTGGAAGAAAGACAGTATGCATTATCAATCAAGGAAGTAGTTGCAATTAAAGCAAAGAAAAATCATTTCCCTTCAAAATGTAGTCAAAGGTTTGCCAACTAAAGCAAAAATAACTGAAGGTTAACTAGTACAATAAGTAAAATGAATGTTGTGCTGTTATGATGTATCATTTCTTGCAAGGAAAGGGTAATTGAAAGTAAATGTACTGACTGGGTGAGGTGACACTTTCCCAGGCAATGTTGGTGTCAGTCATTTATTAGGAGCACTATTTTGACCATACTCTATTGCAGTCAGATCTAAGCCTCATTTGAATTATGGCTGAACTTTACTCCTGTTCCTTCCCTCCCCTCTTCTTCTCAGCAAGCACTGGGCCCAAATTGTTAATAAAATTCTGGCTTGTGGGTGTGCAACATGCTGGCAATGAGCTTTTTATAGGGGCCTCAACTTGATTTTTTAAAATTGATTTGGACTATGTACTTATGCTCTCACTTTTGTTGACTGCCCAGGAGCCCATTCATTAGATTAATAGCCCTATAAATTGTTTACAGGGTACCTCCTTGGAGGTATCTGCCTGTTTTACCAGATGAGATAGGGTGGACATGTTCCAGGTGCCATTCCTTAAATGCCATCCTGTAGGACCTTGGAGACACATCTTCTCCATGGCTAACCTAGTCCTTTTAAAAAAGTCTCCCCCATGAAATTTGGACACCCCCACCCTCATTCTGAGCTTGGGATGCTGTGGCACTTTGGTGGGAAATGTTACATCTTTTGCAGGGTGAGTTGTTTTTTTTTTTAATGGAATGTTGCTATGAGCCACCTAGGATTATCATCTATAACAGGAATTTCCAACCTTGGCAACTTTAAGCCTGGCAGATTTCAACTCCCAGAATTCCCCAGCCAGCAGTGCTGCCTCACAAAGGGCCAGACCAGGAACACCTCATCAGTACTAGGAGGAAGCCAAGGTCAGCTTAAGGTAGCAAGGTCAATGGAATGTATGGTGATATCGGTGAAGGCAGAGTGCAGGGCAGCCAAAAGAACAGAAATGGGAAGAGGTAGTTAGGTAGGGTAGAATTGAAGGGAAGGTGAGCATAGCGAGGCAGCAGAAGCATGATGTCCTAGCCTAATGACCATGTGGTCCTGGCCTAATAATGACAATCAGGAGTACTGAAACTCTTAAGCACTGCAGTCATGTGATATTTTGCCTAATAATTATATGCTTAGCAATAAACATTCTGGTCCCAATTAGGGCGATTAAGCAAGGATTCTCTATATGCTGCTCTCCATTCCTTGGAGCTAGTACAAGACAAACATGTAATATAATAATTAGGGGGATCAAAATTCCCTAATTCACTTTAAGGATATATATATTTGCAATATTACAATGCGTTCCTGTGCTTGTTTTTGAGGAGGAAATGCCATAACACTTAATAGGCTTTTATCTTAGAATACTTTTCCCTAAGCATATTCTTTCCAACTGTTGAGATTTCCGCTTCTACAACCTTCAGTTGACTAGAAAGTTATAAAAATTCGGCACCTCTGAATTTTTAGACTGTAGGGCTGGGATAGGATTTAGAATTTAAAATTGGAATCCTAAACCTCTGTTATAGGAGAGACATTTAAAAAAAATTCTTTAAAAGAACTGAACTTATTTGATATATGTTTTAGTATGATTTTTTTGTACATTTACAAATGGCACATTCACCTTTTGCAAATTTCATTTTCCTTCCACTTAAATGGAAGATACACAGTTTTGTGTAGCACTACAACAATCTTAGACACCTGATCCGTAAGAAGCATACAAAGCACTGTAATTTTAAATAAAAGTAATTTAAACAATAATTTAAATAATTTGCTACATTCATTTAGTCAAGGGTGTCTAAAAGGCATGGTTAAAAAAAAATCAAGTTGCTAGTTGCAACTGTGCAATAGAAACTCTGACATCTTGGCTTTTTTTTAACCATACCCTGCAATCACTCTGAGTTAGGACAGATTAGTCCCAGAAATCTCTAGTCAAACAGGCAATGCCCTTTGCAAATGACATTATTCTGAAGTATACTTGTTACGTCTCACCTGTAAGTCCCTGCAAGGACTTGTTCACAATCTATCAATACAAATTTCTCAAGGGCTTGTCCTGTAAGCTTCTTGCCAGCTTTACTGTAGTATATGTCTCCACTTACAGATCGTATGCGCATATTCTAAAATAATAAGAAAGGCATAAGAAAGATTCAAAACAGATACCGCTTACTTTCTGTGCAGAGCTTATATATATTGTAACCCTATGAGTGAACATGAATCTTAGAATTAATGGTTGCAAAACATACCTAAACCAATAAATGTTTACATTTTTTTTTGTAAAAACCAGCACTTATGCTTCGTTAATTGTATCAGTTTTAACCCCAGTTTTATCATTTCTTTCCAGAAATCTCTTGTAAAATTTAAAGGATATAAAATTCCAGTCTAAATTAAGTATATCAAATATAACCACTGCAAATGGCATGACCAGCAATTGATTTGCTTGGTGTTTTATTAGTTAATGCATTGGGAACAGTGGACATAATTTGGAATTTTGCACGTTTGATATGGTCTCTCTCACAAAATGGTTGTTAAGATTGATGCAGCCAATCACAAAATGTCCATTTATCAGAAGGAAAATTGAACATCCCGATTTTATTTCCTAAGGGGACCCCTAAATATATTATTGGAAATTCAGGGAGAATTTGGAGAATTTAGAAAGCACTAAGTAATATGTTGGTGGACACACAATAGACTGCTCAGTCTCTGATGATGGAAAATTAGAAACAGTATCATTTCAGTAATTTCCAGCCCTTATTTCAATATTTGAAAGCTGCAGTTGCTCTGGAAGAATGGAAAATTACTGATAATAGATAAAATGACAATAATTTCCAAATGGCAGGGGTTGGGGGGGAATAAGATGCTCTTGTAGAATAGAGTATAGTTAGTCCTCTAATTACGACCATAATTGAGCCCAATTATGTTGCTAAGTGAGAGAATTGAGTTTTGCCCCAATTTAGGACTTTCATAGTAGTGAATCATAGTAATTGTTAAGTTAGTAATTCAGTTGTTACGTGAATCTGACTTCCCCACTGACTTTGCTTGTCATAAGGTTGCAAAAGAAATCACGTGACTTCAGGACACTGCAACCGTCATAAATATGAATCATTGTCATGCGTCTGAATTTTGATCATGTGACACTGGGGATCCTGCAATGGTCGTAAGTATGAAAAATTGTCATAAGTCACTTTTTTCAGTGCTGTTGTATCTTTGAATAGTCCCTAAATGAATTGTTGTAAATCGAGGACTATCTGTAGTTAGTAGTTAGGCTTATACTCACATTGAAAATGCCATAGTCACCCAAAAAGAAGATATCCATGAACTGGATATATAGTAATACTGCCTCAACTAAAAACAGGTTGAACAAATATGCAATATAAATCCAAATCCAAACTAATACTTTGCTTCCCAACCTAGGTTTATACTCCAGAAAAACGGTCCCAGAGATTCTTTTTCTCCTGCAAACACATGTACTGTATGAGAGCTCTGTATGTGTGTTTGTTTGTTTGTTTGTGTGTGTGTTTATATATAAAACAACTGTATTTGATTAAAATTGTTTGCCAAATACAGTACCCTAATAACAAAATTAATTAATTGATCTTCCATTTGCAAATGCCAATCATTTTCACTCTCAGATATAAATGTCAATGCACACACATTCCCTTGCCTTTTTAAACAGAAACAACAGCAACAACAACAACTAGAATAGATAGGGTAAATGGAAGTGACAGCTATTTTGACTCTTTTAATACACACACACACACACACACACACACACACACACACACACACACACAACATACACCTGTAGATCCTCCTGGTCTGTTTCAATATAATCTTATGCTGAAATTCTCTCAATTCTGTTGAGCATCAGAAGTAAATTTCACTCTATTGTAATATATAAAGGTGGCAAGCGTGAATCAATTAAAGCCAATCAATTAAAATAATTCAATGAAAGCAATGTACAGCTTTTCATCTCCTTTATATTGAAGCACATGGTTAAAAATATGGACAACTGTGATTGTGGACTGTTTTTTTCCCCAGTAAATAAGGTTTATTTATTAACTTCAGGCACTGTTTTGCTTTGGGCTTTTCTTCGTTCAATGGGTATGTGAAAGGCAAAGGTTGGATATATGATATAACAACACATAATTCTTTGAAAATAAATACTTAAAATGTTTACTTGCCATCCAGTTGGACCTTATGCTTTAGCCATGTTGTTTTACATGGAAAATAGGTTATAACTCAACCCTCAATCATCCAATAAAGGTGTATTATATTACCGATAACAGAAAAGGGGTAAATATGCTTCGGAAAGTATCCTGGAACTGGTTTTATAAGAGAATCATTACAGATCCCCAAACAGTCAGCTGTCTATCAAGGACCCTAGGAAAGAATGAAGGAAGACCTTATACTGCCATTGTTGTAGTTGCTTTTGTTGTTGTTGTTGCCCTTTGATTTCAATTATTGCATTTAGCTGAACAAACCAACCCATGTTCATCTGAGTGATGAGAATGACTGAAATAAGAGCAAATTTAAAATTCTCTTTTTTTCCTCACTTTCATGTTTCATTACATCATATTTTAATATTGGCAATTAAGTAAAAAAAAATTATAACTGATTGAAAACATACCAGAAAGTCATCCATGGTGACCTCCATTTTGTTGCACATTTCTGTAAACTCCTTTAGGTTTTTTTCATCAAGGATCAGATAAACAGGAACCCGACGTTTGTTTGAAGCTTCTAGCAGATCACTGAGTATTTCCATATCTGTGAATTGATCCATCACAATTGCAATCACCTGCACAATTTTTTGGTAAGTTGGGGTAAAATGGAGAATAGAACAGAAGACATTGTCAAAACATGATCAGTGGATCTGCCCTGTTAAACAACCCAAATATCCATATAAGACCCCTTTTAAGTGCTTTGGACTGCAATTTTTTCAAACTTTCATCAAGGCTTTTTCTGAGTAAATATGCATAGAATTGGCTTTAATAAAACAAGAATGGCAAATATGGTTAGCACTTAAAGTCAGTTTTGAAACTTTGTTCCATAGTGCTTCCTCACTAATTACTATTTCTGAATCTTTTTCTTTTCTTCACTCTTGTTTTTATGGAGAATCCAGAGAAAGCTATGGGCAAATGATTGCATTCCAGAGCAACTGAGCTTTTACAATATATATATTTTCTATCACACAGAATTATGAAAAGCTATAATCTAGTGACTCTTCCCCCTGTATGTAGTTTGTAGTTTGTAGTTTATTATGATTTATAGGCCGCCCTTTTCCCTGAGGGGACTCAGGGCGGCTTACAATACATGGGAATGTATGTGTGATGTAAGGCACCTTGCATGTTATAGACTGGTAGATTTGTTCCAGAATTGCTTTCCATGTCCATTAACATTTTATAATGATGACATTCCACATGCCAACATTCCAGGAAGGAACCAAGTAATTAGTCTCTATTATAAATCTTGATTACCATGAAGTGTATGTACAAACTGGGAGTGTACCTAATTCTTCTACTCTTTCTACATTCTCCCTGCTGCTTTCTCTTCTGACAGAACATTTCCAGGAAGAATTGATGCAAAACTTGGGTTCAAATGTAGCAGATTCGGGCGGCAACATTTTGAAGAGATTACAGTGTTGTAAATATTGTGAAGATGGAGAAGGAATTGCCTTGGGGCTCAGAGGTCCACTGTGTTTCCCCTGACAGAGCAATACTTACCCCATGCCTTCCATAGACTTTATTAGATGGTCAGGATGCAAAGAAATAAGGGGAAAGGAAATAGATATACCATGTCTGAGCTGCAAAAAATCCAGATGCCCACTAGCAAATTCTCGATTTTGAGAGTCTTGCCTTGAGATCCAGAGAGTTCTCCTTACATCTCATTTTAAATGTTTTCCCATATTGAAAAAAATCTTACCAACTAAGAAAACAGTTCAGAGGACAAAAGCTAGGTTAACTTTGTCCTATGATAAATTTGTTTTCTATTTGCAAGGAATTTCAAATGTAGATGGAGCATTCAGAAGTGGCATCTCTTGCAATTTAAAATTATCTGCAGTTATCCACTCCAAACACATGAATCACATAGAACTTCTAATTACTTTTCAAAGGAGAATTTAGACAATTTTTGGACTCTTGGGCTTCTAATACATGCCTGAACAGCACTGTAGCCCACAATAATCTTACTTGGGGTTGCTTAAACTTCTTGACCTACCTATGGGTTTTTAGAAATTGTTTTAATTAAATCAGCATTCTGTAAACAAAGTGTCCATCTTAAACATTGTTCTTACTTTAAAACATGTTCCTTTATTTCACACTGACCCCAAAGGCATCTTATAAAAACCAAATGATTTGTTTGGAAAATGCCTATCCACCTCCCTCCACAAAAAATTCAGAGTGAACTGAAGTGGGAGAGAGTCTATTTGGATTAGTAGGAGTGGCAGAAGCTAGTTTACTTGCTGGTAAATGAGTATTTTGATATCATCCATGCCTTTCATGCCTCTTATTTTGTAAGACTTTCCTGTGCCATGTCAGAAAACCACATGTGCTCACTGTATCCAAAAATTCCTGCTCTGAAGATGTGATTGTAGACTCTTATCAACCGGAGAATAGCCTCCACCTCAAATTGATGAAGCCCTGTTTATCTAAGCATTCATTCATGCCTTTCTCTTCCGCCTACCAAGACGGTTTACATTTAGAAAGTAAAATCACACAATTAAACTATGGCAGCCCATTTACCGTCTCTGCCAAAACATCCTAGAGAAAAATTGGGATTGCAATGCTTTCTCCAGAGCAAAAATTTGGGAGCACTTCAATTTTCAGGAGGCATCCTATTCTGCCTGCTCACTGCCTATGGGAATCACACCCTCTCAAAAGAATGTAAAGAGCGGCCTAGATTTAGCTAAGAAAGAGAATCCGATAGGTATTTGATCCATCAAATTTACTGGTTTTGGCATCGGCATTCATTCTGCTTTATTTTGATAAGGCATTTCTGTCAGCCAGGTTACATCCTGTGTATTTGAGATAAATTTATAGGAGTAAATGAATGGATAGGAGAAAGATATTCTAAATGTCTCTTTTATACAGAAAGCCTTTTTTAAAAAAAACTATCTCCTTCCATCGGGCATTTTTCTTCCATCTTTTCTTCCATCTGATTTTGAATTATTCAGAATTTCTAAGGGAAAGCCATTTGCAAAACAGAATTATATATTTTTAAAAAATAATAATTCCTGTTTATTTTATGCAACATTCTCAGACTTTCGTTGAGTAGACTAATTATGCTAACTGCCCAAAACCTTCCAACATTGACTGAATGAAAATCTATTTAAATTTCAAATCTCACACATCTCTTACAATTTTCCATTAGGTAATTTCAATAGGGACACAAATGAATAAAGTCTGGAATATTGGTTTTGCTGCAACAGTCTTTGAGTAGAAGTGCACACTCACACAGGAATATTTTGGGATGATTACTATACAAATATATACCAGTTTGGTGTAATGGTTAAGACATCTGGCTAGAAACTGGGAGACCAAGAGTTTTAGTCCCACCTTCAGAACAAAGCCAGCTGGATCCTTTCCTCTCAGCTGTGGGAAGGAGGCAATGGCAATCCACTTCAGAAAAACTTTTGGAAATACACACACACACACACACACACACACACACACACACACACACACAGGACATATATGTGTGTATGATCTATACAGTCTGCAAAAGTGGGGAATCTAGTTGGATTTTGAAGCAAATATCTTGGAAAACAAAGAAAAGAAATCTGATAACTAATTCATAGACATTCCCTGGGAAAGTCACATTGTATGTAATGTTTTCCATATTTATTACTCATCAAAGTACTCCTTCAAAGTACTTCTTTGTTAAGCCTCAGCTGACTGTAGCAAAGGCGGCCAAATTGAAGGCTCAATAGCTAGGTGTGTGTATGGAAAATTTTTATCTACCGCCTAAGGGCTATACCTACTTTAAATAATGCAGTCATAAGCATTTTCCTCACAGTTTAACACAATATGGAAATTCTAGTTCTAAAACAAAGAGCAATTACTCCTCTGATCTTTGCATAAGATATCCAGGACAGGCTCAGACTCCTTTGCTCCATAACTGTGAAGTATACATTCCAAAGCTGCTATGATTTCATTTTAACAAAATACTATGCAATGTAACCATTGGACCATCAAACATTGTTCTGTTCCTAAACTACTTTGAATAGTCTTCAAAATAAAGTGTGTCCAGTTCTGCTTATTTGTTACCTTGGAACACGTGCGAACGTGTTCCAGCATAGCTCAGAAAACTAAAAGCCAAAGAACAAAGCTCATTTCTTTCTGCATGTATACTATTTGTTAAATATAAAACTCATACACACATAACAAAAATAAATCCATCCTATAATATATTAAAGGTATGGGCAGAGTAAGAATTAAAAAAAATAAAAATAAAATGGGAGCCAGCAGTTCTAATTTTTAAATATATTTTAAAAACTACTCCGATTAACTTTATCTCCTCTTTTTCAATGCCGTAAAATGTTCCACTTACTGTCTTGGCCTTGCTTATTAGAGATCGAAGTAATTCTTTCACATTGTTTGCCTTGTCCCTTTGGAAATACAAGCTGACTTCTGTTCGGTTGAGCACTGTGACAGAAGGCATCATAGGCCAACCGAGCTCCAGTTGAGGGGGATCAATATCTGACATGAATGGGAAGTATGTCCCAGATGTCACCTCAGAGAGGAGAGATTCCCTGTCCATGCTGTCAGCTCTTGAGAATCCTGCCTCCAGCCCCTTCTTTGGAGATTCTGGGATGCTTTGGATGTGCTGGCTCATGTAAGCCATGTCCATTGTGGAGAGGAAGGGTAGTTCTTTTTCTTTAGTGATGACTTGCAGATAGCCAGTTTCTCCTTGTTCCAGGAAGGCATCCACAGCTAGCCTGGCAGTCTCGCTATGCTGTAGCATTGAAGGGCTGGCTTCTTTCTTCCAGGGCTTTTTCAGATCTTCCAGTCGATTTTTCAGTTGCCCAATGCTCCCTTGGGAATTCCCAAGGCTTTTGGGGAACCAACTCATGCCTCTAGAGCTGGGTGATAAAGCACCAGAATCCTTGATGTTCCCTTGACAGAGGGATATTCTGAGCTTGACTTTATAAATCCCTTTAATTCCACAGTGAAGCTGTCCAGATGAAAAAAAATCACCACGAACAATTTTGTTTTATTTCTGGTTTTACTTCTTCTTTTTTTCTAGATATGCCCCTGTTCCTAGGGAGAAAATTAGCTCAAAATTCTAATTTCCATGGCTTGTTTTGATGCTGTCTTCCTTATGGAAATGCTAAGAAAAGTTTCTTCCTCTTCTTTACAGGAGCTGCTGCTTTTAGGTATGCTTCCTCAAGCAATAAGACTCAGCTACGTTCCCGCCCAAAAGTGATTTCTCTTTGCAGTCAAAGCACTGAAACCTGTTTTGTAAGTTTTATTGCCTTGAGAGGAAATGGGAATGTTGAAACTTGTTCCAAGGTCAATGTGGTTTATGCAATACCTACAAACATGCATAAATGTTAAAACAATGTAATAACCTGGAAATGAGAGGAAAACTGCAATGCATTTATTAGCATCCATTCTATTTTTCTATTCAGGTATTGAAGAAACAAAAAGAGAATTGCCAGTGCCACAAGACTCTGCAAATTGCTTTAATTCAGAGCAGAGAAATGTTTATTCACAATGCCCCAAGTCCAGATTTTGTTGAAATGTAACAAGGAGGATTAGGTTGTTTAACTTTAAATCTTCATGTAATTTTCCTATTCTAATTTGCACTCCTATTTGTCTCCTGCTTCCATATTTTTCTCTCTGTATGTGTGCATAGAAAGTAGGACTATAGGCATGATCCAGAGATTTGTAGAAAAATAATAATAAATTTAGTTTAGGAAATTTAGATAGAAAGAAGGGATTATGATGCTTTTTGGATTAAATTTGCAGCTTCTACCAAAGAGAGAAAATCAGGAGCCCAAGCATTCATTTTTTTCATTTTCATTTTTTCCCCCATTTTTTACTTTATTTGTATGCCGCCCTTTTCCCTGAAAGGGACTCAGGGCGGCTCACAACTCAAGGGAGGGAAAAAACAGACAAAGTTACAAAACATAAAGACCATACACAGTTAAAAAAGCACAACAATCATACCATTCGAGGTGAGAACGGGAATGCTGTTTAATATAAGACTGCCTTAATTGAGAGCTAGAATAGAGGTAGAAATAAGATCAAGGGAAATATTATT